ATTAAAGGATTTGGGGGATCATTAAAGGTTTTGGGGGTTATTAATAGATTTTGGGGGTCATTAAAGGTTTTGAGAGGTCATTAAAGGATTTGGGGGATCATTAAAGGTTTTTTGGGGGGTTATTAAAGGATTTGGGGGGTTATTAGAGGTTTTGGGGGGTATTAAATGTTTTTGAGGATCTATTAAAGTTTATTGGGGGGTTGTTAAAGGTTTTCAGGGGTCATTAAAGGATTCTGGGGATCACTAAAGGTTTGGGGGGTCATTAAAGGATTTTGGGGGGTCATTAAAGGTTTTGGGGGTCATTAAAAGTTTTGGGGTCCTCCCAGGCGAGTCGGACAACCGCAACCAGCAGAAGATGGAGATGAAGGTCTGGGACCCCGACAACCCCCTCACGGACCGGCAGATCGACCAGTTCCTGGTGGTGGCTCGGTGAGGGGACAGGGGACACTGGGGACACCGGGGGGACCGCGACGACCCCCCCGCTCCCCCCCTGCCCCCCCCTGCGATGTCCCCAGGGCCGGGGGCACCTTCACGTGCGCCCTCGACTGCAGCAGCTCCATGGGGCAGCCCATGGGAACGGCGCATTGGGAGGGGACAGGGGACACTGGGGCGGAACAAGGGACACTGAGGGGGACAGAGGACACTGGGGGGGACAGAAGACACCCAGGGGGGTCCGTGCTGTCCCCTGTCACTCCCCGCGATGTCCCCAGGGCCATGGGCACCTTCGCGCGCGCCCTCGACTGCAGCAGCTCCATGGGGCAGCCCATGAGTGTGGCGCATCGGGAGGGGACAGGGGACACCGGGAGGGTCCGTGCTGTCACCCACTGTCCCCTGTCACTCCCCGCGATGTCCCCAGGGCCGTGGGCACCTTCGCGCGCGCCCTTGACTGCAGCAGCTCCATGGGGCAGCCCATGAGTGTGGCGCATCGGGAGGGGACAGGGGGGACAGGACGGGACAGGGGACACCGGGAGGGTCCGTGCTGTCACCCGCTGTCCCCTGTCACCTTTGTCACCCCCTACGATCTCCCCAGGGCCGTGGGCACCTTCGCGCGCGCCCTTGACTGCAGCAGCTCCATGGGGCAGCCCATGAGTGTGGCGCATCGGGAGGGGACAGGGGGGACAGGACGGGACAGGGGACACCGGGAGGGTCCGTGCTGTCACCCGCTGTCCCCTGTCACCCTTGTCACCCCCTACGATGTCCCCAGGGCCGTGGGCACCTTCGCGCGCGCCCTTGACTGCAGCAGCTCCATGGGGCAGCCCATGAGTGTGGCGCATCGGGAGGGGACAGGGGACACCGGGAGGGTCTGTGCTGTCACCCGCTGTCCCCTGTCACCCTTGTCACCCCCTACGATGTCCCCAGGGCCGTGGGCACCTTCGCGCGCGCCCTGGACTGCAGCAGCTCCATAGGGCAGCCCCATGGGGCAGCCCATGAGTGTGGCGCATCGGGAGGGGACAGGGGACACCAGGAGGGGACAGGGGACACCAGGGGTGTCCGTGCTGTGCCTTGTCACCCCCTACGATGTCCCCAGGGCCGTGGGCACCTTCGCATGCGCCCTTGACTGCAGCAGCTCCATGGGGCAGCCCATGAGTGTGGCGCATCGGGAGGGGACAGGGGACACCGGGAGGGTCTGTGCTGTCACCCGCTGTCCCCTGTCACCCTTGTCACCCCCTACGATGTCCCCAGGGCCGTGGGCACCTTCGCGCGCGCCCTGGACTGCAGCAGCTCCATAGGGCAGCCCCATGGGGCAGCCCATGAGTGTGGCGCATCGGGAGGGGACAGGGGACACCAGGAGGGGACAGGGGACACCAGGGGTGTCCGTGCTGTCCCTTGTCACCCCCTACGATGTCCCCAGCCCAGCCTGCACATGAGCGCGCCGGCCGCCTCGCGCGACATCACCCTGGTGAGTCCCCAAGCGCCACCAACCCGCGCGTGACCCCGTGGGGTCTCTCCACACCGCTCACGTGTCCCCCCTGTCACCCTCGGGGACAGTTCCACGCCATGGACACGCTGCAGCGCAACGGCTACGAGCTGGCGCGGGCCATGGCCACGCTGGTGCCGCAGGGCGGCCCCGTGCTGTGCCGGGACGAGATGGAGGAATGGTCGGCGTCCGAGGCCATGCTCTTCGAGGAGGCGCTGGAAAAGTACGGGAAGGACTTCAATGACATCCGGCAGGACTTCGTGAGTGGCACCGGGGACGTGGGGACGCCCCCGCGGGGTCCCCGGGGCGGGGGTGACGTGTTGTCGGTGTCACCGTCGCCGCGCAGCTGCCCTGGAAGTCGCTGGCCAGCATCGTGCAGTTCTACTACATGTGGAAGACCACGGACCGCTACATCCAGCAGGTGGGGACGCGGTGGCACCGCGGGGACGGGGTGGGGACAGGGTGGCACCATGGGGACAGGGTGGCACCATGGGGTTCAGTGCGGGGACAGGGTGGCACCGTGGGAACCAGGTGACACCATGAGGTTCGGTGCAGGGACAGGGTGGTACCAGGGGGACAGGATGGCACCAGGGGGACAGGGTGGCACTGTGGGGACCAGGTGACACCATGGGGTTCAGTGTGGGGACAGGGTGGCACTGTGGGGACAGGGTGGGGCCATGGGGTTCAGTGTGGGGACAGGGTGGCACCGTGGGGACAGGGTGACACCATGGGGGACAGGGTGGGACCATGGGGTTCAGTGCGGGGACAGGGTGGGACCATGGGGACGGGGTGGCACCGTGGGGACCAGGTGACACCATGGGGTTCACTGTGGGGACAGGGTGGCACCGTGGGGACAGGGTGGGATCATGGGGACCAGGTGACACCATGAGGTTCAGTGCGGGGACAGGGTGGCACTGTGGGAACGGGGTGGCACCAGGGGGACAGGGTGGCACTGTGGGGACCAGGTGACACCATGGGGTTTAGTGTGGGGACAGGGTGGCACTGTGGGGACAGGGTGGGACCATGGGGACCGGGTGACACCATGGGATTCCATGCGGGGACAGGGTGGCACCGTGGGGACAGAGTGGGAGCATGGGGACCAGGTGACACCATGGGGTTCAGTGCGGGGACAGGGTGACACCAGGGGGACAGGGCGGCGCCGTGGGGTTCGGTGTGGGGATAGGGGATGGCACCGAGGGGACAGGGGGTGTCACCATGGGGACCGGGGTGTCACCATGGGGACAGGGTGTTTCACCACGGGGACAGGCTGTCCCCATGGGGACAGGGGTGTCACTGTGGGGCTCGTTGTGTGGATGGGATGTTACCATGGGGCTCAATGTGCGGACGGGGTGTCACCATGCGGACGGGGTGTCACCATGGGGACAGGGGTGTCACCATGGGGCTCGTTGTGTGGATGGGGTGTCACCACAGAGCTCAATGTGGGGACAGGGGGTGTCACCGTGGGGCTCCATGTGGGGAGGGGGAGTGTCACTGTAGAGACAGGGGGTGTCACCATGGGGACAGACTATCACCATGGGGACCGGAGTGTCACCATGGGGCTCAGTGTGGGTACAGGGGGTGTCACCGTGCGGACGGGAATGTCACCATGGGGACAGGGGTGTCACCATGGGACTGTGTGTGTGGATGGGGTGTCACCAAAGGGCCCAACGTGGGGCCAGATTTGGTGTCACTTGGCGCTCGCTGATGAACTTGGGGGTGTGGGGGGCGGCTCGGGGGGGTCCCCCTCAATGTGGGGACAAGGGGGGGACCCC